ACAAAGCACGCATAATCCAAATGACTATGAATAAGGGCGTTGTACAATATTTTTTGAGAGAATGGATGGGAGCTCCACCAAACTCCCGATAACGCGCGAAGAATATTTATATTTTTTCCACATTTTTTTGAGACATAGTTGATATGATGAGAAAAGGTTAGTTTGGAGTCAAGAATAACTCCCAAAAATTTTACATTCTCCCTAATAGGGATAGGTTCATTATTAAAGAGAATGTCGATTTCAGGGAGTTGCCTATGGCGAGAGAAGATGACAACACTGCTTTTGGGAACAGACAAGGACAAACCATGATCAGTTAACCAATCTTGTAAATAGGACATTGATAGATTCAAGCGGGAACAAGCTGTAGCAAGGTTATCCAAGGAAATATAGATAGCTATATCGTCTGCATATTGGAGGATGTTACAGAATGAGTTAACAGAAAGTTCTAGATCATAAGTATAGATAGAATAGAGCAAAGGACTAAGTACTGAGCCTTGTGGGAGACCCTTCCATACAATTCTTGGCGGGAGTAGAGAATTTTGACTATCAATATAAATGGATCTAGAAGAGAGAAAGTTAGAGACAAAATTTACTATCCTCACTGGAATACTCAGATTAAGCATTTTTTGCCTGAGCACAGGAAGAAGTACATTATCATATGCAGACGAGATATCTAGAAAGACACCAACAAGGTGTTCATGTTTAGAGTAAGCTATACGAATATCAGTAACTAGAGTACTAAGGCTATCCATGGTGCTTAAGCCCTTTCGGAATCCAAATTGGCTTTTTGCTAGAAGGTTTTTGCTTTCAAGAAACCATTCTAGACGATTTTTTATTGGGTGTTCAAGAATTTTGGCCATGATACAAGAAAGAGCAATAGGGCGGTAGCTTGAGGGATCAGTGTGAGGCTTACCTGGTTTGTAAATAGGTAAAATAACTTGGGATTTCCATTCTTCAGGAGGAATACCGGACATGTAAATACAATTTAAAATAGAAAGAAGATGGGCTTTAGTAGATTCACTGCTATTAGTAATAAAAGAATAAGGAATTCCATCAATTCCTGGTGAAGAGTCTTTAAGGGCACTAAGAACAGCATATAACTCCTCATAAGAGAAAGGGGAGTCAAAACTGTGTTGATAGTGCAAGGACTGTGATTGAAATACTATACTTTCATTGTAAGATGGTACTGAAGGAGGAGCAAGATTACTAGCAAAATTTTCAAGCCAATAAAACTGATCATTAGAAATTGTGTTTTCAGAGGCCAAAGCTGAACATCGGAATTTTTTAATATTTTTCCAGACTAATGATGGATGAGTCCTAGGCGACAGTGACTCACAGAATTTAACCCATCCAGCCTTTTTCTTCCCAGATAATAATTTTAATGTTTCAGCAGCAGTTTTTTTATAAAAAATATAGTTGTCAAAATTCATAGAGAGGGAATATCTTACTTCAGCTTCCTTTCTCTTCTTACATGCTACAGAACAATCTTGATCCCACCAAGGTGGTGAAGGAGCATTATTTTTATAAGGTTTTTTGATGGGGATTGTCTTATTGGCAGCAGATAAAATAGCATTTTTAAAAGTAGAATACACCTGAAGAACATTATCTTTCTGAACAAGAGGAAGGGCTGATAGTTCTTCCTCTAGAACTGTGGAATATAGTTGCCAGTTTGCTTTGGATGTGTTATATTTTAACCTAGGATTAAATGGAACATTGACTGTATAGGAGCTAGGGGGATTAATAACAATAGGGAAATGATCACTGCCATGGGAAAAGGGTAATATTCTCCAAGAAAGAAGGGATGACAGGGCAGGGGAACAGAGTGACAGATCTACTGCACTTTTAGGATTTTGGAGGGGGGATACTCTACGTGTAGGTGAACCATCGTTAAGGAGGCAGAGATCTAAATCATCAATGATGTCTAAAAATGTAAAAGACCAGGGATCACAAAAATGGGAGCCCCATAAAGTATGGTGCATATTAAAATCACCAAGAATTACCATAGGAGGAGGGATGGAGGATACAATCCTCGTAAGTTCTGACAAGATATTTAAACTAGGTTCGGGAATGTAAATAGAGAGAAAAGAAGTGTTATGAGCTCTAACTGCTACAGCATTAATTGAAGGACTATGAGAAGGAAGGGAAATTAATGTATAAGTAATTGATTTTGAGATAAGAATGAAAGAGCCAGCATGACCATCATGCCTATCATCCCTGAGGCATGAATAACCTGAGATCCTAAAATGGGACCCAGGCTTAAGCCATGTCTCTTGGATGGCTAGGATGAGGGGATGGTATTTATTAATAAGGTAAATTCATTCATTTTTCTTATTATTAATGCTCCGGCAGTTCCATTGAACTATTGGAGGGAAGGTTATTTGTTAATGAAATGAGCTCAGTAAGTTTTTGGCGGAGGGCAAGTGGGAGATCCATATCACTGAAACGGGAAAGCATACTTTATAAGCATGGAGATCATTAACTCACAGAGATTGTCATCAGGGGAAATACTCCGCCCTATTAAAGCACAACCATTAGTAGTTGAAGAAGAAGGGGTCTCTATTATTGCCTCATGGGCAGATTTATCATATCCATGACTTGATGCTGGATTTGGCGGAAGTCTTGGAGTAAATGTAGTTTTCCTGTAAGAATGAGATTGTGAGGGGACAACTGAAGGTAAAGTGGAATTTGAAATAGGATAGAGACTCTGGTGATCATACGAAGGAAGGATTCTTGCAGCATCTGCATAAGATCTTCGGACTTGAGGGAAACGGGCAGATGCTTCTAGATAGGAAATATTTTCCTGTGACATGGTAAGTTTGATAGATCTCTGCCTAGAGTGTTCAGGGCAGGAAGGATCTTTAGCCGTGTGAGATCCTGACCAAAATAGGCAAGTGGGAGACTGTCTTGTGCATGATATTCCTTCATGATTTTGAGCACACACAAAACAACGGGAAGATGACCTACACTGTGAGGTTACGTGTCCAAAACGACAACATTTGTGACATTGAATAAGAGGTAAAATGTAGGGCTCAACAGGCATTGAGGTGAAAAAACAATAAATGTTAGAAAGAAGTTTCTGGCCGGAAAAAGTTAAAACAACCGTTTGAAAGGGAATCCACACAGTACTTTGGTATTCATTAACTGACTTTCTATTAAATCGGCGAGCTTTAATAATTGAGCCAAAACCAGCTGGGACCTCGATTGATGATATGAGTTCCTCTAATATCCACTCTACAGGGACCTGCCTCACTATTCCCATGCGTGTGACATTATAGGAAGGGATTACAGTATCATATTTAGCACCTGCAAGGGCTGGGTTCTCAATAAAACAATTTGCATCAGCTGCACTTTTAAACTCGACAGAAATTCTATTGCGTCCTATTCGCTTAACACCATCACTAACAACATTTTTAATATTATTATGGTAGAGAAAATGACCAAACTTTATCGGTTTTAAAACTACTCCAGTTGATAAATCATCTACTCTCTTACTTACATGAACAATAAACGGCGCATTGTCGTTATTAGAATATTTATGTTTTTTTTTCTATGTAGTCAGGATGGGTATAAGAGGTCTGAATAGATGGTACAGGTTGAGATGGATCTGTAATTAATCTTTTCTGAGGATGAGCTGAGTTATTGGTTACTTGCAATCTTTTACGCTTCGACTGATCAATTTCGATAGGCATATTATTATGTTTTTTGGTAACAGTATGGGAGTCACATGGAACCCCGTCGGGATCGGGAGGATCTTCCTCCATTTTATTTTAACTAATTACATATAACACAGCACAATTACTAAATACTTACGGATTTATAACTACTAAAACCAACACCAATAGAAATAATAAACAAAAAAGTAAATCAACAGCTCTCAGAATAAGAAATAGCCAAAAACACAATGACACTTGTACACCTCACACCACTCCTCAATCTTCTATATCAAGTGAAATTTTCAAACCACTCAAGACTTTGACAGTTCATGAAAACCAATTAGTCAGACCTATGGTCATGCCAAAGACAATATCTATTTTTATAAAGTGAGCGCTAGGGTAACGAAGATTGCAATACGTTCTCGATAAATAAAATGTTTTGAGAAATTACCAATTCAACACTTAAAATATCGAATTGTTTGTATGAAAGTCAAGTGAGCGCTAGTCACGACGATTGCAAGACGTCGATAAGTGAAATGTTTTCAGAAATTTTCAATCACCGTTTCATTACACGGTTCTCAAAACATTGCTGTGTACGAATATCCATATCATGCCGTGTGTCGTAAAAGGCGACTAGACTTGGGGAAGTATTATTTTTAATAACTATGACCGACGTTATAGGTCTATAAAAACAACAGTGAAAAATCACTTACTTTGTCACGTCGATTACTTATTAGACGTTGACATAAACGTTATTTTTCACCGTGATGTTAGTTGTCAGTTATGATTAATAAGGGACAGAGTGAAACAAATTAGGATACGGGCAGCAGTGTCTACTCTCTAGTCTAATATGGACAAAATAAGTGAGGACCTGCGATCGCTAAGTTGTCTCAATAATTATTATAAATATTACAAATATAAATTATTATTGATTTTTTTTTATTTATAATATTTCACCATTTTTTAATGTTTCTTTTTGTCAAAAATTACTTCGCATACACTATTTACCAACGGTAGCGCGGCTATAAATTCTACAAATTTTCAGGGACAGGCGGGCTATGCTTTAGCACGTATCGATCGTTCTCCTGTTCCCTAACCTCTATGCTATGATCTATAGTGGACTTTACTAGGCTCTATTAGGAAAAGTAGGAGAAAAAAGTCCGAACATGTTTTTAAATTTAATCTCGTCATTTGCTCATGAGCTCCTCTGTATTTCCATGACCCATGGCCAGAAGTAGATTGTTATGACCTTATGAAAAAGAAAAAAATGTAAGGAAACTGAAAGGAAAGAGAGGGGAGTAATTTTATTATTTGAAAAATATTTCTATGTAAAAAAAACTCATCAAACAACAAGATGAAATAATTTATTAAACAAGTTGCATAAACAAGTCCAATGGTTAAAACAATGATAAATAATAAAATCTAGTTTACTGAAAAGAAAAAAATTAAAATATTATGTCACTTCCACAACTAAGGCAAATCTAACGACGCCCCATATATTAAAAAATCCATCAAGCAATTTAGGTTACAGAGCGTGTCAAAGAAAAAGACATCCATACGTGCATACTCAAAAAACATTACCCTTCTTTTGAAGTAGCCAAGTAAAGAAAAAAGGTTATACTATAAAAAAACAAAACATGCGGTAACAGATTAACCACTCAACTATGGAGTGTAAAAGTAAGGAGTACCAACTCCCATACGAGAATAGTTAAAAAAGTGTCCATCTGTAAGCAGTAAATAACAGTTAGTTCAAAAACTCTCCACTACAGCGCTCGAGTAGCTAGGGGGTATGTTAAATTGCCGTAAAATACGTTGAGTGATTTTGAAAATAAAAATTTTGAAAGCAATAAAATAATTATTGTAAAAAGAATTACGGTGAGTTTGTGCAATAAAAAAATTTATAAAAAGTTCTTTATAATTTAGACTGTAGCTACAGTGGCGCCACCCTTATTTAACGCCTTCCTACGGACACTTTTTTATACAGAGTCTGTACTCCTTACCTCTACACTCCATACCTCTTGATAGAGAGTAATTGTGTTCTGTGCTCCATACGCTCAACAGTCAAAACATCCATCCCCGCTGTCAAATATCTGTTGTCAGTAACTGTCAATGTCATCCATTCATCATCATCATCATTACAGCCCTTCACAAGTCCACTGCTGAACATAGGCCTCCCCCAAAGAATGCCACAAAACACGGTCCTGAGCCACCTGCATCCATCGACTTCCTGCATGTCTTACCAGGTCGTCACTCCATCTCGTGGGGGGACGCCCTACACTTCGCCTACCGGTACGAGGCTGCCACTCGAGAACCTTTCTTCCCCATCGGTTGTCGGTTCTTCGAGCTATATGGCCGGCCCACTGCCACTTCAGCTTACTAATCCGTTGGGCTATGTCGGTCACTCTGGTTCTACTGCGAATATCCTCATTCCTAAGTTTATCACGCAGAGAAACTCCGAGCATAGCCCTCTCCATAGCTCGCTGAGCGACCTTGAGCTTCCTGATACGGCCAGCAGTGAAGGACCACGTCTCAGTTCCGTAAGTCATCACTGGCAACACGCACTGGTTGTACAATTTCGTTTTAAGGTTTTGAGGTATGTCTGACGAGAAGATGTGTCGTAGCTTCCCGAACGCTGCCCAGCCGAGTTGAATCCGTCGATTGACCTCTCGGTCGAAGTTGGACTTACCCAGTCGGACTATTTGTCCCAGGTAAACATACTCGTCAACAACTTCGAGCTTAGTGTTCCCAACAACTACCGGCATAGGTGTGACATGGACATTAAACATGATCTTAGTTTTGTCCATGTTCATCTTAAGACCTATCCGTTGGGAAACACTATTGAGGTCATTGAGCATAGTGCTTAGGTCCTCCAGCGATTCTGCCATAAGGACTATATCGTCGGCAAATCGAAGGTGAGTGATGTACTCACCATTGATGTTGATACCGTATCCTTTCCAGTCCAGAAGCTTGAAAACGTCTTCCAATGCAGCGGTGAAGAGTTTCGGGGATATGACGTCACCCTGTCTTACACCTCTCTGCAATTGGATAGGTTTCGTTCTCTGGTTCTGTACTCGGATAGCCATCGTAGCCCTACTGTACAAGCACTTCAACACTTCGATATACCGACAGTCAACTTGGCACCGCTGAAGGGACTGCAGCACCGCCCAAATTTCGACGGAATCAAAGGCTTTCTCATAGTCCACATACGCCAGACATAGTGGCAAATTGTACTCTTCGGACTTCTGTACAACTTGCCGAAGGGTATGTATGTGGTCTATGGTGCTAAAGCCCTTTCGGAAACCGGCTTGTTCGGGAGGCTGGAAGTCGTCAAGTCTGCGCGCGAGACGATTCGTAATGACTCTCGAAAACAGCACGTAGTTTTAATGTCATCCATTACGGCGATTCAATTCATACCATTGTTTTACTTTATTTTTTCATTATTTTTGTTTACTATTATACTTCCCATTTAGCATTAATGTTATAATAATATATAAATTTAGATGAGAAAAACATGTTTATTATATTTTATTGTTTAAACCATAATATTATACCCACATATTACATAGAATATGGTGAAACGGAAGATCTTTTGACAGTGCAGCGCTGAGTTATTATGGACTGATCTCGAACATCTATTGTTAGGTAACCTAAGGTATTCATTAAATTGTATTCTTCATCTCGTACACACCCTCTCACACACGACATTTTACTTTTTTTTTTTTCTTTCTATTTACATTTTTTATAACCCTCATGTAATATAAAAAATAAAGTTAGGTAATTTTTCCATAATATAAATAAGTAATCTATGTTTATTATGTCCGGGGAGTGGCGCCATATGCTGAAATACAGGTTCTGGCCTAGTTCGGCAATGGATGCTATTTTTCATGTTATAAGATAAAATATTCCTGTGTAGTTTATAAATAGACATATTGTTAAATAATATATATGGTAATAAAGATTATTATAATCATAGGAATGATGCAATTTTGAAAGATACTGTTGAGAGGTCAAGAATATCCACTAGCACAGTTTCGTCTCGTTTCGTGGATGCCGTAAGAGGCGTCGGAGGAAAACTGAAACAGGAAATGGGCAGCAGCATCTTCTTAATAATAACTAAAAATTACAGGTTTTTTATAACCAACGATAAAACACAATGACTTTCAATAAGTGTTATCCGTATTGAATAAAATGTATTGTATTCTATTTATTCAAAAAAATTAAATACAAAATATTATTAATATTATATGACACGATGAGGAGGCGGAGAGGAGGGCGCGGCGGCCGCCTCGTGCCTGACGCCCGCCTGCTGCTGCCGTCGCTGGGAACCACACGCCTCGCACAGCACCACCACTCGAACTCGCCACCACCTCCTCATGATATACTTCATGCTGGTCTGCCAACAAGTACTCATTGCCGTTCTCCTCATCTAACCGCTCAACGACAACGACCACTTCTGGATGAACATTTCGCCTGCAAGACAAATATAAAAATTACATAACATAATTTAGTTCATACATATTTTATGTAATACTAGCTGTTCCCCGCGACTTCGCCTGCGTATTAATTTATGACCATTAGATTTCATGGATTTTAATTTATTTGTGTAGAACCCTAATTATTCCTTATAACACCAGTCAGTTATCTGCCAGTGAAAGTCCCGTTAAAATACTCCATAGAGTAGGGAACGTCTCTGCGAAGCGGCGTCGAACGGTTCGTGTATTGTATTTTTATACCTATTATACATTCTAAATTAAATATCCGATTTTAATGAACTACTGGTACATAAATACCCTTAATGATAAAACTATCTATTCAAATAAGAATTAATACTATGAAACTAACCATCCTAGCTACCACGGCTCCTATAAACTATTAAATATAACATAAATGTTTATAATAGAATAATTATATACAAATTAATTTTTATAGAATCAAAGATGAAAATAGTAACTAGTTACAACAGTTACTAAACTCCAAAGAGACAGTATAATTCCTTCATGGGGCAACATAGGTATATGCTTTTACAACAAAGTCCCAGAAAATATAAAACCTTATCAATCAGTTTAAATTTTTAGTAAGGTAAATTTGTTTAGTAAAGGTTATGATTGATGATAATCCTTGGGAACGAGGAGATTGCTACCATACTAATTTTATTCTATAAAAAATATTGTAAATTAATTCTATTCACCAAAGTCTCGCTGGGTTTCTAACTCGTTCTTCCCAAGACGGAGGCTTTTTCATATCTCTAATTTATAAGAGTAAAGAATTTTCATTGAATATAGACAATGTTTAAAACCAGAGACTTTTCATAGATGTGTTTATGTTTACGTAATATGATAGATGTAGATAATTTATAGGCTGTTTTAATACAAATGGTATATAAATACCAACATGTGTATATATATATATATACAGGACGGTAAACCAACATGACAGGAGAGAGATCAGACGCAGGACCAATGGCTGTACATGCTTTTCGAGGTATGGGGGTGTGACAGCGTCAACTTCCTGACTCTGGGTTGCTACTGGGAATTTCTTGACGGAAATACTCATTAAATAATTTTATTGACCCAACCCAGAATTTGAACCCGGGACCTCATAATCAGCAGTCGCGTTATACAACCACTATATGCACTCATATTTATAATCATAATAAAGACCAGAGTATAATAAATAACTTACAAAATTATTATGTGAAAATGTTTCTTCCCCTTCTTCGCTGAGATCGCCCTCGTTGAGTCACAGCATAAGATATCAAATTCCGCCATTTTTCTGAAAATGTATGTAGTACACACATGTGAACATTTTGTGTCTTCATGAAAATCGAAAAGAGTAAGAAGACAAAGTTTACATAGAAAAAGTTTCATATACAAAGTATCTTGGCGTTGTGGTGGATCAGCGACTTTCCTGGTACAGACATGTTGAAATAGTATCGAGTAGAATTCGAAAGCTCACTTGGATATTTAAAACTTTAAGACATGTTGCCAGTTTAGATCTTTTGAATCAAATATATGTAGCGCTAGCTCAATCTATTATATCTATTATATATATAATATATTGTATACCAATTTGAGGGGGTACTTACAAAAGTAAATTTATTGAAATTGAAAGAGCTCAGAGATGTCTACTAAAGGTTATGCATTTTATACTGTACAGGTACTCCACTAGCTTTTTGTATGCATCAAGTGGGCTGATTTCGGTGAGGCAGTTGTACATATTACACACTGTATTGAAAAAACATAAATCTTTGGCTTTTAATCCTATTTACAGTAGTAAAAGAAGAAATTATAGCGTAGTTCCTATTTGGAGAATGAAAACCACCTTTGCGAAACATCAATATAACAAGCAATCAGAACATTTATACAATCAGATTAATAAAATATTGCAAATATATCCATTAAAGACATATGACTGTAAGAAAAAAATAATGCAGTGGCTTAAGACAATTACGATCAAACTGAAGCTTTATTACAATTTTTTTTTATTTTTTTTTTAAAAAACGTTACCCCCGCACTAGGATTTTCTCCTGTATCGTGGAGGCAGTTTACAAACACAAATTGCATAAGGACAAACATCCAGACCCGGAACAATTATTTGTAGGCCATACAAATACTTGTTCCGTGCGGGATTCGAACCCGCGCCCCCCAGCACAACAACTCATTGCTAAGCCACTGCGCCACGGAGCCGTATTATAATTTATCTTATAAGCTTATAACACATTCACTCACTGTCTTTTTTCATACATACACACACACGCGCGCGCGCGTACACATACACACACCCTGTTTCTTTTTTTGTTGAATGTATTTAGTTAAGGGAGGGCGAGGACGTTCTACCACAAGTATCTTTATACTTAAAAGAAGTCCTCAAACTTATACTAATAGAATATGTTGGAAACAATAAACTTTCATTTCATTTCATTTCAAAGTTTATAAAATTTATATATATGAATTATGAAATACTAAATTCTACACTCAAATATCTAACTACTATATAAAAAAAAACACTCGAAATTTCATAAAGAAAAGAAATATATAACATAAAATTATATCGACATCGTAATAATAAACACTCAGTAGGAGCCTCTAATAAATCGAAATAAAATCAATCATAGGTATATATTTATTTGTTGTTTATGTATTGTTTACGCCATTTTTGTTGAAAATAATTTTGCCATAATTTTCACGATATATCGAAATTATAATATAAAACGTAATTTTTTCACATTGGACTGTATAAAATATGAGTTTCTGTGTTTTTTTCATGATTTATGGTGATTATTTACACTTTATATTTCATTTTCAGTTAATTCTGAGTACTTTATTTCATACGTGAACGACGGTATTTGAAATGCTAATTTTATAAATTGAATAAAAATTGTTAAAATACGAAATATAAGCAAAACTTTTTAAAAAACAATGTAATTACTTACCCTTTGTATAAAAAAACTCGACAAACTTTTCTATATAAATGTAAACACTCAAATTTTAAAAATAATACAGTAGGGCAAGAGTCACGGACACGACACAGGCACAGGTATATACTGTAGTAAATACGACGCATCATGGCGGAAACTCGTCATTTTAACTAAATACTCTTATTTTATAGAAGCGTAATTTAGTAACGAGACTAGTTCTAATATTTTTTTTTAGAAAATTAGATATATAGTTCTTATAAATAACACTTAAAAAACAATTGTTTTGAGAGATCTACAAAATGACTGTGCCGGACGGGCGTAACTCTCCGGAGTAAATGTTGTCGAAGATACTCCGCGAGCCGCTCACGTCCTACACCTATAGGTTCCGGTGGATACTTTCACTACCGCCTTTGTGTATGCTGTTGGAGAACTGTGGACTGAGGTTCAGAATTAAAATGCACGATTTATAAATCAAAATAGCAAGGGAGTGGCCAGCGGTTCGACTGATTAATTAGTTGTGAAATATTATAACTTATTTATTTATTTAACACTGTTTTTTAACTATGATTGTTCACTATATATTTCAAAACACAGATTTAATTAAACACACAGTAATATTAAAATTTCTATTGGTTTTTTAAAATTTCTATTCGTATTTTCAAAATATCTGTTGGTAATATCAAATTTCTATTGGCAGTAACAAGTTTCTATTGGTATTCTCTACTATTTCTATTGGTAATTTTGAATATCTATTGGGAGTAACAAATTTCTATTGGTAGTATCAAATATTTCTATTGGTAGCAGCTGGTTTTCTAACACTACTGACTAGCAGCTATTAATCAACTAAAATTAGTTGAATTTAACACTTTTGTAACTGCGAATATCAGTTACCACTTTTTCCGTCTAGCTAACACTTTTCACTATATGTAACGGCGAAATTTCCGTTACCACTTTTTTCAGCTAGCCAACACTTTTTCACTATATGCAACTGAGAATTTTCAGTTGCCACTTTTTCCGACTATGTGTAACTGCGATTTTTCAGTTACGACCTTTTTCGGCTAGCTAAACTTTTTCTATTTCACTTTAACTTTTCACTGTGTTCTGCTACTAGTCACTTCAGCTACTACCGGATACTACTGCTTGTTACTGGTAGTTCTTCCTACTACAATATTACTGTGATTTGCCCCCATAAGGTAGACTTCGGCTATACTCTATAGAGAGCCGCTTGCCAATTTCCGGTTTTGCCTTTTTATTATCAAACATTTTCATTATGTAATTTGCACAAATCGCAATTTTTCTATATAATGCTAATTTTTACTCTAACATGCTATACACTATAAAATAGGCATTTTGGTCCTTTATCATTATGTGATAAGGGTTACTTGATATATTTACATTCAAAAAAGTTATTAATCAAAATGTACCTAATTTACATAACAAAAGTGCACATTAAATCTTTAATTTTACTATATTTATCAAATGCGTTTATTTACACAAATTATCTATTTACTTATTTCAATCTATACACCATATGCTAACTAAATATCGTATTTACAATTCTTTCAGACCATAAAAATATTCTCATTATTTTCATATAAACTATTGCGCAGTTAATTAACTTCTAGAAAGTTCCACGATATGCTGCGCTGTGATTGGTCGAAATTTTATTTAATGTTTAAAGTCGTTTATATCAACTTATTATTAAAACGATACTTTATACAAATATATTACGAGTTGTAAACATACAGTAAAACTATATTAAAACACAATTTATTCGATTTTGTTGCCAATTTCACTTTTTAAAACAATTTAATATTCTTTAATCACTTTTTGCTTAAAGTCTTTAAAACCGTTGCGAACATCTCTCCCGCCGTGCAGCGTCGCGAAGATCTCATCGTAGTGGCGCTGCATCCATTTCGGTGAGCGACGTTGCATCTACTTCGGTAGCGCCACGAGTTTTCTGGTTGGCCTTTTGATTAGGCCGTTCGCGGTTCGTACCTCCACAGTGCGGATCTGTCCGTCCGCACCGGGGAAACAGCTTCCACCCTGGAGATGGGGCCTCGTCCACGGGCCTCCCGCCGATTTTGAAGTTCCGGTCTATGTGATTCTGTAATGGTGAGGCATTTTTCCTCACCGGTGGGTTCGGATAACGTGGGTCTTTCGGTTGGCCATGCTGACGGTTCTTTGTACAGAAATGATGGGCCGCAGTACCACTCATGATTTGAGTCGAAGTTCGGTGGTACGTCCCTCGTGGCGGTGTCAGCTATGTTTAGTTTAGTAGGTACCCAGCGCCAGTCATCTGCTTTACAATTGTCCTCGATTGCTACTATTCGGTGCGCAACAAAAGGTTTGTAAGTTCTGGACCCCTTTTGTATCCATGTGAGGACGGTCTTGCTGTCAGTCCAATATGTGACAGCTTCGGGCTTTACGCGATGCTCCTGGATGACGGCAGCAGCTACGCGACTTCCCATCACGGCGGCTTGTAACTCAAGGCGAGGTATGGATGTTACTTTGAGTGGGGCTACCTTCGCCTTGGCCATGACGAGGCTCACGTGTACCTTCCCATCAGGTGTCATTGCCCTCCAGTATACTGCCGTTGCGTAGGCGCTCTCACTGGCATCGGTAAACACGTGGACTTGTAGTGAACATGCGTCGCTGAATCCTGGGTAGCATCTTGGTATGCTCACCAATTTAAGTCGTTCCAGGTGTTGGATCCACGCGGACCACTGTTCAGTTAGGTCTTCGTCCAACTCCTGGTCCCAGTCTGTTCCTCGTCTCCATGCTTCCTGCAGTATTTGCTTTGCTCGAATTGTAACTGGGGAGGCGAGGCCGAGCGGGTCATAAAGCGACATCACTATTTTCAGTGCTTCCCTCTTGGTTGGTTTTTTATGGAGCACATCGATCGGAAGTCGAGCGAGCTTTAGATTGAAGTTCAGCTGATCGGTACTCGGTTTCCAGATTAGTCCGAGTATTTTTTCTTCGTTTTCCTTGTTGCTCAGGTCAACTGACTCAGTTGCCTCGCGGTCAGGTTCCAATTCTTTCACAATTTCGGGCGCGTTGGAAACCCATTTTCTTAAGGTGAAGTGCGCGTTTTTGTGTATATCGCGTACTTCCTTTGATATTCTCATCGCATCTTCTACTGACTGGAAACTGTCAAGATAGTCATCCATGTAATGATTTTGGATGATCGCTTCTACGGCTTCTGGGTATTTTTCAACATATTTTTTAGCATTCCAGTTTTTTGCGTATATGGCTGTGCAGGGTGAACTAGCTGCACCGAAAATAATCGACGTCATCCTGTATTCTTGGGGTGCCTCATTACGTCGATTCCCTCTCCAGAGATATCTTAAGGCATCTCTGTCTTCGGGTCTAACTTTTACCTGCATAAACATTTCGGCGATGTCCGCCGAGACAGCGACGTTATGGCGACGAAAACGCATCATGACCCCTGGTAGCGACTGCAGTAGGTCTGGACCCGTGAGCAGGAAGTCGTTCAATGCCACCCCCTTTGTTTTGGCTGCGGCATCATGCACTATTCTGAACTTCTCTGGCTTCATCGGGTTGTGAACGTCAAAATGGGGTAGGTACCATGTCCTTCCTGGTGTATTGGTTTTTGGTGCTATCTCGGCGTATCCCTTTTGTACTAGGGAGTTCATATGTTCGTTGTATTTCTTTTGTAGATTTTCGTCTCGATCTAATTTTTTCTCGATTGAAACGAGCCTTTTTATGGCTGTTTCATAATTGCCAGGCATTTCGGCATCTTTCTTCTTCCAGAGAAGCGCCGTCTCTATGTGCCCGTCTTCCAACTGACGGGTGCTGTCATTTAGTATGTCTTCGGCTTTCTTCTCTGGATCAGAGTCTGGTCTTCTCGGATTGATTACGAGAGACTCCAGCGCGAAATAGTCGCGGAGTTGGTCATTTATGGACTCCTCGCTCGTGTGCAGCTCATTGGCCGCGTGGACGCGCTGATACGGGGCTTTAGTGTGTGCCCCGTGTAGCACCCATCCTAACTCTGTGAGCGAGGCGATTGGTTGGTGCGGCGGACCTCTGCGAATTTTAGTGGCTATTAGGAGTCTCCAGTTATCTTGTCCTATTAAGATCCTCGGGTTGCCGGAGTCATATATTAATTGCTCCTTTAGGTCTTTTAAGTGTCTACAATTTTCTATATCGGTTGCACAGTCTGTGGCCCCAAGTTTAGGCTGGCGACCGTGCGTGCTCTGAATTGCACCCTTTTCCTGTGGACTCTTGAGTGAAACTTTGACTCGTCGGGAGTTCGGCGAATCGAGGGTATTGTTCCCGATGGCGGTAATCTTAAAAGGGTCCAACCGCCCTGTTGCTCCAATTTGTTTGGCTATTTCCTCATCCATTAATGAGACTGTCGACCCGTCATCCAGCAGGGCGTGTGTATTTACAGCTCCCGCCGGTCCAATTACTCGGACTGGTATTATTTTTAAATAAGCGTGATGTTTTGACACGGCGAATGAATTTGCAACCGTTTCCTGAGGTTCTATTTGTGTGACCTCCGTTTTCTCCTTTTTATAATGGTGGAGAAGTCTATTGTGTGTCGCGGTGCATCCTTTTATTCCACACTTCTTGGTTTTACATTGGTGTGTTTGGTTTTTATATCGCAAACACCGGAAACATAAATTATATTGTTTTGCGAGTTGCCATCTTTTGTCGGTATCCGCTTCTTTAAATTTTCTGCAGTCGGATCCGTAGTGGCCTTCCTTTTGGCACACTCTGCACTTCGGAGACGGCTTAGTGGTAGCCGTGTGTGTCCTATGTACTGGACGATTGTTCTGCGCCCCGTTTATGATTTCGGGAGGCGCAAATGCACTACAGTAGCGAGCTTGTTCGGTGATAAACTCGCTGAAAGAACCGAGGTCTGGCCTAGAGTCGTATTTTTCGGTATAAACTTTATACCACTGTGCCCGTATAGAATTGGGCAATTCGTCTGTGAGGTGTCGTAGCAGCTCTGCGTTGATGAGATAGTGGTCTCGTTTGAGTGCCCGTAGAGTGACGACGCTTCCCCTCACTTTGCTTGCGAATGTGCAAATATCCCTAGGCGCTTCTGTACAGCGTGGCAATCCTCGTAACTTCTCGGTTTCAGCTTGTGCAATTGAGTCTGGACGCCCAAATTGTAGCTCCAGTTCTCGCATGATCTCATCTGGCTTAGCATGCCCGATGAGTTCCGAACTAACTGTCTCCAAGGCTCTTCCCTGTAGACTTCTTCGTAGCCTTGCCGTATTTTCGATATCGTTGAAGTAGCCTCGGGTTGTTTCATAAATGGCACGGAACGATAGCCATTCAGTATGTGCTCCGCTAAAGCACGGCAGTGTCAATATAGCTTTCGACGCTGCGAAAGTATGCGACGATGCACTCTCTGGTTTTGTTTTGTCAGCGAGTGCGGCTATAGCGGATGTGAGCTCCGATATAAATGGTCGGAGCCCTCTGTCTTCATTTATGACAGATGCCTGGTTAGGCTTCGTTGGCAGGGGATTCTTCGTTACGTCTGCCGGATAGGGATCCTGGTAGGTGAGCTCTGATACAGCTGGTAGGAGCTCCCTGTTTTCATCAACCTTCGATTCCTGGCTAATTTTTAGTGGCACAGTATTTTTGGTTACATCTTCCGGATCGTGATCCTGGTAGGTGGGCTCTGATACGATTGGTAGGAGCCCCCTTTCTTCATCAACCCTCGAACCATTGTTTGTGAGCTTCTTTTGTGGCTCACTGAGGTCGACAACTTCCGGGGGTGGCCTTGTGACGGTTTTGTTTAGTGGGGCCTCCCCTCCGGTGGTGACGCCATGAGTTGGCTTTTGCTTGGCTACGCTATTTTCGAGCCAAGATCGGACGTACTCGCTTTTAGAGTGACCATCTTCATCATAGTCGTTCGAATCATCTTCTTCCTCAGCCATTTGCAAGGAAATTTGTGCGAGTTCCAATTTAATTCTCAGCACTTCTTCACGAGCCTTCAAAACTTTTTTATTGGGCCGAATAGTCCTTTTTGACTTTATACTTTTATCTCGGTGGCCCCTGGGTGGCTCTTCGGTGCGGGAGTCTTCCCGGACTGTTGGCGGTGATGCACATCGGATGTCATCGTTGCCCTCTATATTTTTCATCTGCTTCGGTGTACCGGTTGTAGTGGCCGGCCCGGGCAGGAGTACCC